ACCGCTCTACCTCCTGAGCCACAGCTGCTCCACAAAGTTTGGTTTTCTTTCTCTCCCTGTACCTTTCTGCAGGTATTCCTGGCTCCAGAGCTCTATGTTTCATGAGAAACAGCCTGGTTGTTGTTTTGTTTTTGTTGTGTCCTGATGCTTTTCTTTTCTCTCTCCTCTATCCACTCACACCAGCTGGTCGAGGCAGAAGGCCGCCCAACAAGAGCCAGGGGGTCTGTCGGAGGGTTCTTCCATTAAAAGGGAGTTTTTCCTCCTTAATGTTGCCAAATACTTGCTGCGTTTTCCTTATAATAATGTAAGATCTAGACCTGATTATGTAAAAGTGCCCTGAGGCAAAAGTTGTTGTGAATTGGCGCTATACAAATGAGTTGAACTGAATTCAAATGTATTTTGTCTGGGCAAAAGTCCAAAACCCAAGGACTCTATTTACAATAACATAACAGAGGAAAACAACATATCCTCAAATCTGATAATCTGCTAATCAACTGATTTCTTAAGCTCTAGTTCAGGTGTGGCCCAAAATTTATAACCACTTATGTGCTTTTGTGTGAACATGTCAGCAAATATATACACTCAAAGTCGTGTATAAGAGCCACAGGCATCGGTGTGAGGAAAAACTGCAGAGATGAAAAGAAACTAAGAACACAAGAAAAGCACAAGCCCAGTCTTCAAAGTAGAAAGAAGCTGGTCTGTATTATATGGCATGACATAGTTACAGATTCTGCACCATCTTAAACTAATAACATGGAGGAGACACTAAGGCTAATCATATTGTCTTGTTCTTTAGTCACTTAAAGCTTCTAAAATGCCTGCTGTTAAAAAGAACTTGACATAGAAAACAATTGAAACATCCAGGCCAAATCACAGACCAAGAGCAAAAACAATGAGGCCTTCAGCCAGATGATGATCGCACCTCGAATAAATGTATCACTGCTCAGACATTCAGAGCTCAAACGCGAAACTCATTCATTATTTTCCTGTGTGATTAATGAATTTTACGTTGAGTCTTTCAAACAGAGAAAAACCCCAGACATTTACAGACCCTGGTGCATTATGGAAACATGAATGAAATCCACTAACTGGCCTGGCTGAGGCAGGAGTTGGCACATGTTATGACGTAGTAACTCCCATCTCCAACAACAGAGGATAACAGTGATATTATCAAGGGAGAATCCCCTGTGTGTTTTGTGTTATTCAACATTCCAATGTTGTGAAAGCATTTTTTTTCCCCCAAGACCAAGAGAAACATCATCAAAACACATTGTGCCATTAAAACAAGTGTGGGCCAAGAATGAAGACAGGGAATACATGAGAGCAAGCCTTCTTAGTCAGATATTTCGTAAATATGAGCAATGTTTTCACTCTGTTGGAATGAGTTAGGTCCACTTTGAGCCATGCAGTTTATTTTGTACGGGTCTACTGTTAATTTCTTTTCTCCTGTAGTTCATGGATGATGGTATGGAGCAAAATGATTTTGGCAGTTATTACAATAGTAGAAAAGTATATTCTGTATTTTGACAGGGTCATTGTTTTTGTGGATGTGTATTTGGACTTACTTAGAACTTAAACTAAAAGGCCTGGCACCTGTGGGCCATGCCCTCTCTTCATGCATCCCATTAACATGCCTGCATTTACTGTTTAATATACCTTCCCAAATGAGAAAAAGTTGGGATGGTATGTAAAATGTAAACTAAAACAGAAAATAGCAACATCACACCGTGGTAAATGATTTACTGGCCCAACTTTTTGTGGAATGTGTTGCAGGCATCAGAACTGAAGTGAGTATTTATTTTGAACAAAGAATCAAACTGATGAGGTATTGCATCAGATAATGCACTGCTGGATTGTTTTCAATGTAAAAAAGGACACAGACGATTTACACATATATTTTTAGTTTTAATTTTTCTGATTTGGGGTTGTAAGTTAAATATGTATTTGTAAATCTGCAGACTAATTGTTTTCTTTTATTGTGGATGATTTAGAATGGTCAATAATGTCCACAGGAGTGGATATCATAAGAAAAACAAATGGAAAACACTTAACTTTCACAGATATGATCAATATAAAGCTTTTATCATTAGAAAATGCTAATAACTCGATTTCAGCAGTGTGTTTTCTCAAAAATGCACTGATAAATGCCAAAAGAGTACTATATCATTTCTGTGCAGAGTGGGTTGTCTGTGATGGGAGGATGGCTCCTATAAAGCAGGACAGTTTTTTCAATGAAAAATACTTTAGTTGAACTGGTTGGACATGTGACATTAAAGCTTCAGTCTTTTTTTTTTTATACGCACATTGGATGAAATCACTGAAAAACCCACAAACTATTACCAACTCTCCTCAGCTCTGTGGCCTTGTACAGATTATTGCCTTTATTACACAGCCCACAATGTTATTGCCTTTATAAATGGCTGTTATCGGTCTGTCATCAGACCACAGATGTGGGATTTTAGGGCCTACCACTCACCTTCCTAGTCAGCTCAGTAGGCCGTTATCATGTGCCAGACCTCAGTCATCATTATAATAATTAGCATATCAGGTTTAGACATAATAAGTACTTATTTTAACTTAAAACACACTAAATCTAGCCAAGTACTTTTTAAGTAACAAGAGCTCAGTATGACATGGGACATGAACAGCTGTCCTGTGTTTTGTCAGCTGACCCGTCACCCCCACCACCTCCCTACGTCGATTTTGTCGCTCTATCACATCACCACCTGTTATTGCTGTCATCAGAGGTCGCCTAATTATAATGGCTGATTTTCAGTTTCTTTTGCTGCCTCATTCACATTATTAGGGCAAATAAGGTAATAATTGGGATGATACTCAAGTAACTATGAAAATATGCAGTTTCAGTTAGAGTACTACTGGCTTTATAAATGTTTAAAGTCAGGATTACTTCAATGTAAAATGTGTGGGAATAGACATTTATTAACCAGCTCTTCCCCCTCTGTTCCAGATATCATGGTTTCTTGGATGCAGCAGGACTGTGCCATGATTTTGGTGGTGCTCCTGTTGCTCTGTGGACCAGAGTCCTCTCTTCAGGGTGACACTCATGAAATTGGGAACAGCGATAAGATCCTGGAGAGAGAGTTTATCTATGCGCCAAAACGGCAAAAACGTGCTGTGGTTGACTACAGCGCCTCCCAAACAGACAAATGCTCTTACACCTTTATTGTCCCAGAGCAAAAAAACACCGGGGCCATCTGTGTAAACTCCAAGGAGCCCGAGGCCTTGCTGGAGAATCGGGTCAATAAGCAGGAGCTGGAGCTGCTGAACACCGAGCTACAAAAGCAGAGACGGCAGATTGAAGCGCTGCAGCAGTTAGTAGAGGTCGATGGGGGCGTGATCAATGAAGTCAAGCTACTACGCAAAGAGAGCCGCAACATGAACTCCCGAGTTACACAGCTCTACATGCAGCTGTTGCATGAGATCATCCGCAAACGAGACAATGCTCTGGAGGTGTCCCAGCTGGAGACCCGTGTGCTCAACCACACAAACGAGATGGGGAGGCTGGCTGCACGCTACCGGGACCTGGAACACAAGTACCAGCACCTGTCAGCCATTGCAAGCAACCAGAGTGCTCTCCTGCTGCAGCTGGAGGAGCGCTGTAAGCTGGGAGGATATTCACATGGTGTGGTGCAGGACAGAAGCTATCCTGTGCGTCCACGGTCTCCTGTGATCCCTCAGCCTCCTCTACAGATGCCTGCACTGTCTCCTGGAGGCTACAGACCATTCCATCCACCTACCAACACCCGTCATACCAACAACCCCATGACTAATGACATACAGAGTGACCAGAACGCCAAAGCATTAGTACCTCTGCTGCCGACAATGTCAAGTGTTACATATGGCTTCACAAACGAGCCCTCTGGTAAGTTGATGCCATCACGCAAGCATTCGTGTCTTCCTTTGTCTATTAATAAAAAGACATAGGCCACACATTGTCCAATACTAGAGATGCACCAATTCAATTTTTTTTAAAGTCTGACCTGCCAATGTCAATTTTGGTCAATTGCAATAAGGCAGCACTAGCATGAAGCTCCAAATCAGTTCACTCTGCTCCACCCAGCGCTCCCTCTCCCTGCTCCACTATGCTCTACTACGATGTGCGACTCTCTGCCACACTCTGCCTAGCTCTTCAGACAGTTGTTATAGAATTACAACGATTCAAAATACAGCAAAACTAATTGATCAAGCTGAGGTAACTGAAAACCTCTGATTAGAAAATTGGAAATTTCATTTCTGATCTCCTCGGATCAATCAGTGCATCTCTATCCAATACTTTACAAAGCTGGTGGAAATACCTCCTCTGCAGAGATAAACTTGACCAAGATGATGATGATAATAATAATAAAATTTATTTATATAGCACTTTCCAACTCAAGGAGCACAGAGTGCTACATCAATGAAAAAGATAACAGTTCAAAACAGAGATAAATAAGCATAAAACAAGCACAAGCACTCATAGGGGTATAATGCAGTTTCTATCCAGTCTGATACCTCCAAGGAGACTAAAAAAATAATGGCCTTATGAGACTAATAAAACAGGTTAAACATTAAAAGCTTGTTTAAAAAGATACGTTTTTAGAGCTGACTTGAAAGATACCAGCTCAGTTATAGAGCGTACATCTAAGGGTAAGGAGTTCCACAATCTAGGGCCATACACGGCAAAAGCGCGACCTCCCCATTTCTTATAATGTGAAGAAGGGACAACAAGGGCGAGGTGACCTGACGACTGTAGAGTTCTACGAGTGACATATCTGGACAGGAGGTCCGATAAGATGATGGCCACAGAGGGCTTTTTGACAGATTTCTGTAGCTGCAATTATTTGCATGCATTCTGCACATGCACCCATAAAGTAAAACTGAGAAAACCATTTGAAAATCATCTCATTTTATTCAAGGTCATAATTTTTTGATAAACCCTTCTAAAGTTTTACATTTCAAGCACCAAGGGCTCAGATGTCAAAAAGATCACAGTCCGCCTCATCTCACTATAGTTAGATCAGCCAGGCAGACAGGTTTAAGTCAGAAAAATAAAAATAAAAAAAACAAGCTGTATGACCAAGAAGAATGTACAGATTATTTAAAATGCAGTGTCTGAGCCAAGGAAAGGCTTGTTTCATGCTTTACTCCGAGCAAACGATTTCATTACCAAAAGCCAACTGACCTGCCTTAGTAAACACACTGCTCTCCTCTCACAACAGGTGACCTTGGTTATTCTCTATAAAGCAGCAAAGAATAAAAATTTAGTAGAACTGTATGGAATGGTTGGTAAAGGTGTATAAAGGCTCACCAGCATGTACAGTACTGTATGTCCATCCTCATACACAGTACAAACAAAACAAGGACCCACAGCTCTAGAGGGGACTGCCTACATTTGGGGGGAAATGAAAGGGGGGGATACAGTGTCAGACGTGGAAATACGGCATACAGGAAAATGTTACAACCTTGGTCACATGCCCCTGTGGTTGAAGAGGCTTCTATTAAGCTTTTTTATTTTAAATAAAGTATAAAAGATAAAGATGTAAAACTGAACTTGATACCAACAAATTTGAATCACATGTATATTAAACTCAAGGACACGACCTTGATTTCAGAAGAGGGAAATAAACTTGATTATTTATTTCAATAATAATGTCAGTACAAGATATTTTTGATTAAAAAAAATCTGAAATGTTATGCTAATCTCCTAATCCATCCTTAATCATTTCAGAAAACAATGTTACCACAAGGTCCTGACCAACTAATCATCTGCTATTTCCAAGGTCAAGAGTGAAATGCATACATCATGTATCATAGCCTACATGATGTCTTTTGATAGAGAGCTCATATGTGAACATGGATGCCATTGTATTTACACTACCAGGCAGACATTTGGACACACTCTCCTTTTCAGTTCAGTGGGAAAACGTCCTCATTCCCATGGTATTAAATTAAAACCAGTGCTAATACTGCTGGCCATACAAGCACACGCACGCACGTTAATGGAACTGTAGTATTACCATAATGCTGCAAAACACAAATCTTTCTAAAATGATGAAACCAGTAACCACTAACTAGGGATATTGATATTTGAATACAATATAGCCATTTAAATGTGCTGTCTCAGTGTTTCCATATAAAATCTTGTGTTGTTACCGAGAATTGCAGTGCAGTTTTTCTCATGGGAATTTTTACTGCGGCCCCCATCACAGAGACTGGAAAGCATTTGTCATGTTTGGCACACACAACACATCGTGACTTCATTTTCCGGGAGCCCTCTGTCCATATGTTTTTATATCTATTTGATGTTGCAGTGTCTGTTAATAATGATGATAGCATGTCACTGAAAATAAAAGCCAGTCATGAAAACCTTTGTAGATCAGCATACAGTATTCAGCTTGGTTAATCAGCATTGCCTCTCTAGTCCGTGTTCTCTCTCTCCTACAGGTCCTTTCAAAGACTGTTTGGAGGCTCTAGAGAGTGGATACACCACCAGCGGCATGTACCTCCTGAAACCAAACAACAGCAACAGACTCATGCAGGTTTGGTGTAACCAGAAAGACGACCCTGGTGGCTGGACTGTCATTCAGAGACGTCAAGATGGCTCTGTCAACTTTTTTAGGAACTGGGAAAAGTACAAGGTAATAATGAAGATCTGAGCTTATAGTGAACCAGTCTGACAGTCCTCCTCGGTAGTTTTGAGATATAAAGCTGCAAAGATGTCTGCATTCATTCCCTTACAAGGAGATCAACCTCAATAATTCTTTTAAACTGCTCTAGAAATCTCAAGCCACTCTAGCTGCTCTGTGAAGCTGTACTTAATCACAGTGGTAACAGGGATACCAAGACAAATGCTATATGATATTTACACACAAAGTATGGTTGAGGTTTAGTTTTAGAATAACATTCAGTTACAAGGCTAATAATATAGGCATCTATAAGCATTTAAAGATCTTTCTGTAGAACATTTCACCTGTATTCCCAAGTAAAACAAATATATACATATATATATTTTAAAGACCTTGTTAAAATAAGAATTCAGATTGAATACCAGGCATGTGGTATAATGACAAAGACTGGTTTGTGACCAAATGAGGCTGAGAGACCCTCATTTTTTTGATCTGTCAATTAAAATGCCAGATGTCAACTGTCACATCCACTTATTTTGTCTGTAAGAAGCAGATCATTTACCACTTTAGATCAAGCTCAATAAATCAGACTTGAACTCTTGTATTAAGCATTGCTGTTTGAAGCAATTCACAAGACCTAGCTTGTTAGGCTAACTGGAAACCATCGCTGTACAAATAAGACCAACACCATGTCAACACCAGCTTAAAAATGAAAGCAGCACATCAGGAGCAGCTGCAGTTCTTGAAGCACTGGGCTATAGAACTGCTAAACATGTTTTCAAGAGCTCACAGTCCCTTAAGCTAGAAAACAACCTGTCTGAATGCTATGGGCTGCAGCTATGTGAGTGAAGTATGAGGTGGTGTAGACAGCTGTATTGATTTTAACTTCAAAGTTAATCTGTTTGTTAGATACATGTTAGATGGACACCCTGTCTAGACAGCCGCTAAGCCTTTCAGTGCAGGCTGACTATAGCCACTTCCAGATGAGCCTCTGTGCTACTGGGATCTGTTGCACACTTTTTCTTAAAGCTTTAAATAAAAGATGATTTTAAACTGCTGTGCTAATAGGAAAAAAAAAATCTAATAGTTATGTTTGTGATGACATAATTAAACTGCCAATCATCTCACACAAAGTAAACTGTTTGGCCAACCCAACTTATTGTGTAATAGTTGAGAAATCATTAAAAAAAACTCTACAAAATCAATCCTCTGAAGTCACAACAACAGAGCTGAAACTGATTCAAATGACCTAAACATGCTCTCAGTGTTGCTGCCAGCGCAGTGATCTGTTGACTTCATAACCATAGTATCCAGTTACTACCGGTGGAACCCCACGCACAAGGCAATACACTTAACTGTCAGAGATTTTTCTGAAGCCTAAAGGACTTCTGAAAGCAGATAGTGTTCTTGGCGCTTTAAACTCGAGACCAAAGCAGAAAGAAGTACTTCAGTGTTGTCTTCTGACCCACTCTCAATGAGTCAACAGAATGCTTTAAGAAAACTACATGCATTTGGCTGAGAAAGGACTCCCTGCTGATTGACTCCATGTGTCAGACATAGAGTGAGCTCTGGTGGAGAGGATCCCAAACATGTCCTGCCATTTTGCCACTGCTCTTGGATCATCTCTCTGATATCATACCAGTGATCACAGATGCTTGGAAAACATGGGTGGGTTTTATTATGTTTGAGGTCCTTAGTTTTATCCAAGAGTAAGCAAAACAGTTTGTTTCTTGCAAACTTTAAAACAAGAAAACCATGGTGGCATTTCCTATTGTCTCGTGTGTTAGAAACAGTAGCAATGGTCTAATTCAATCTCTTTCTCCCTTCACAGCAAGGGTTTGGAAACATAGATGGTGAATACTGGCTAGGCCTAGAGAACATCTACTGGCTGACAAACCAGGGCACCTACAAGCTACTGGTGACCCTAGAAGACTGGTCTAGACGCAAGAACTTTGCAGAGTATGCCAGCTTCCGTGTTGAATCTGAGGTTGACTTCTATAGGCTGCGGGTGGGCCAATACCACGGCAATGCCGGAGACTCTCTTACCTGGCACAACAACAAGCAGTTTACCACACTGGACAGTGACCATGATGTCTACGCAGGTGAGGGAACTGCAGTGCAAGAGAAGGCAGTCATCATTTCTTATGTGCTTTTACTTGCAAGAACTGCACAGGGTAGGCAGGTATAATGGAAAGAAGTCTACAGAAATTGGGCACACAAGCATTCAGGCTATGGGTATACATCACATGACACTACCAGTGTTTGACAGTTTCCCCAAAGCAGAAGCATGTCTTGGATTACTCAATAGTTAAACTTAAAAGTTTTGACATTGAAGGGCACCACCACCTTACCCAAAATAAATATTCTCTCTGCTAACATCAAAAGAAATCAGTTTAAACTAAACTGAAATATACTAAAATGAAAAAATGAGCAGAGATGCTATATCAGATAGCCAGACCCACATACGTAATAGGTAACACTGATGTCTCATCAGACTTGAAACATCAGCAATGCATAAACAACTACTGAAGAATCCTTGTGCGAAGCGCACATGGCTCATTAGTCTGTGGGATCCCTGAACCAGTCACTTCCATTTCCACCTTCCATTCAAAACGCTTTTCGTGTTGCAGATGTATCCAAAACTATTAGTGTCATACTGGCTAATCTGATTTGATTTCTTGTGTATCCAGGCAACTGTGCCCACTACCACAAGGGAGGATGGTGGTATAACTCCTGTGCTCATTCCAACCTGAATGGCGTGTGGTACCGTGGTGGACATTACCGCAGCCGTTACCAGGATGGGATCTACTGGGCTGAGCTCAGAGGAGGAGCTTATTCCCTGAAGAAGGTGACCATGATGGTACGACCCAGTGCAAACACCCTCCACTAACACTTCAGTCATTAACTGGACAAATATCTCCTCCAAAAGGATAGTTTCTAAATCACAACCAGGGGCAGCCTTGATCTGAACTTACTTCTTCACTTTTTCTGTTGGCTGTTATACATTAATAATGTAGCTTCAAACTGCAAAGTCTCAAAAGGACCCATGCAGAATTTTTTATTTTATTCCTTTTAAAGATTTAGGTTTTTATACTTACTTTGAATCTCATTTGGGCTCATAAAGCAATACTTCACACAAATCAACACCACCACTTACAAGCACAACTGTATCTTATCTGTCTCTCGCTGTGTGAGTTTTGTTGATTTGTTAATTTTGTTTATGTAAACATCTGAAACTTCAATAAATACAATACCAACCTTTCAACAGGATGCCTGCCTGTTATGTACTGAACAAATTCAAAGCTGCTTTAATTTTATCTAACTGTAAAATATTAACAGCAGAACCTCTATCCAGAGATCAAAACTGACTACTGGCAAGTCAGGTGCTTATATTATTAGAGAAGATATTGTTATTGATTAAAAGTGTTTATCCAGTGTCCTTGTGCATATTCTGAGGCACAGTTCCCGACTGACTGGGCAGTGTGTGTGTGTGTGTGTACATGAGTGAGCAATGTGCTCATTCAATAAGGACAGAGCCTAATTTGCAACCGTCTATTCCTGCTCCCACCGTGTACAAGAGGACATTACTACAGTCACCAGGATCTCGATTCAGGCCTCTGCGATTTAGTTTTTATAACAGTGATTCTCCCTAGTTTGAATTTCTTTTGGGAAATCTGCTGCTTCACAACAAACACAACCACACTTTTCCAGAGCAGCAACAACAACTGACAGGTGTGCACGTCCCCATGTGACAATGTGTGCACAGGAAGAGGGAGAAAGATCAATGTAAAGAAATTTATTACATCTGAGAGTAAAATGTGTAATCATGATCACAGAGCCAAGATGAGGAAAAGTAAATAGAATTATTCCCCCAGTTCTGAAAAAACACCATCCTTGTACCATAAAAGTGTACGGCAATAATGGAACTGGAATCAAAGACGTTGGTGACAACAACCTATATTATGCCGTTTCCATCATGGTGTAATGACCTGTCACAGAGCTAGTAGCGAGCTAACCCTCAGCTCAGTCACAGTAGCTCCTGGAGCATCTTTCTATTGTCTCACTGCTTCTCTGTTTACTCCCCCTGGGACGCTAAAGAGCCTGCTAACAGACATTTAGCAAAATCATTAGTTCAAAACTAGTAATTCATAATGATTTGCTCTATTTTGGACTCTGTCCCCTCAAAGATCAGCTCCATCAGAACAACTTACCATTGGTCAGCTCCCTGTTTATCATGAACAGCCCAAATCTTCAGTTTCTGAGGAGCTAAACACTCCAAGCCTACCCCAGCACTCAACACTGCTTTAAACTCAAGACTTAAGGATGTCTTCATACCGGTGCTTTGGAGAAGCATGTTAATGTGGTATTCTATGTGAAAGTTTTGATGTGCTGAATGGAACAGAAATGTATCATGTGTATGAGTAAATGGCTTAAAGCTGCTGACCAGAATTTAGACTAGTGGTGCAAGACATTGTGAGGTTTACTGTAGAAACCCGGTATCAAGCACTGAAAGAGCCACTGATTTTAAAAGAATATTAAGCAGCCTGTGGTGTGGGCTAATACTGAGGCAAAGAAAGAGGACTTGCCAAGGTACGGAATGCAGGGCACCATCTTCAGGGAGCGGATGTATTCTCTCATGCGGGTGTAGTTCTCCTCCTTGGATGTCAAACAGTTTAGCTTCTCAAATGTGGCCTTGTCTTTCCGACTGATCAACTACAACAACACAAAAGAAAGATTACATTTATGATTTTTCCTTCTCATTCAGAGCCTTTAACCTGAGTGGGAATTACAGTATGGCAAACAAATATTACATCACTGATACCTTATGTGAAGCTAATTACACTTTATCTATGTAAAACCCATTAACTAGAGCATTTAAAAAAGACTCAGAGGACTATTTATAATGAAATGTACTTGAATTTCTCAACAAACCTATCGTGGTGGTTCTTCCTCTTTATATCTGATGAAGACCACCATTCATGTAACATCCTGAGCAATTCAATTTTCCTTCTTGCCAATATATGACCCAGTGCTGAAAATTAAGTGACCTGGAAGATTTTTTTTGTTTTTTTGTTAGTGGTTTCCATCAACTGTACAAAACAAGAAACTGTCAAGGTGCCGGTGGGTCAATGTGTTCAGAAAAAGAAAAAAAAAAGTACAAACTTTTGGCATGAGAGGCCTGGTTTCAGTCTGTCTAGTCGGAAACTACTGAATCAAATGCCAAAATCGTAGACTGTATAAACTGTAAATATGGATGACATATCAACACTTCCCTCCACTATGCAAAAGTGAAACCAAAATATCATGAATACAGTAGCTGCCATCTTGACATTTTACAACCAGTGACATATCAGACCATCAAATACCTTTGTCAAAAACCACCTTAGCAGAAAATTGACCAATTATACACATACCATCATAATATTTTTTAAAAATTTGTTTTTAGTTCGACGCATGTCCCATCCACCAACATGGAGGGGGTGGGATTTATGAGCTATACTGCAACCAGCCACTAGTTGCAATTGACTTGGTGGCTTCACTTCTGGGAGCTATCTGGCTGTCCATCTTTATTTAGTCTATGGCCACAATAAATAAAACCTTTAAATAAGCCTTTAATGAGCAAAATAGATTCTTATGAACAAGCTTAAACCAAACTGTGCTAACTGCTTAGCTTAATTTGTCACATATTTTAAATTTTGACAAGATCTTGTTTCTAGCCGAGTTTCTACCCGAGATGTTAGCCCCACTCCCAAACCATCTGTTCTTCTCTTTACCAGTTAAACTTTACCAGAAAACCTCATTAGCAGTAGCTAATTATAAAGACTGTTTAAATTTCAAAAATATAACTTTAAGGATTACACCCAGTGTTTATGCAACAATGCTTTGAGGGCATTAAGTATTAATAAATTCTAATCCTGATCTAAATTTATTATTTGTTATGCCATAACTGATAAAGTACTGAACTGATAAGTACCGTTAAACTGTTTCATAAAATACTGACATCCCTATTTAAAAAAAAAAAAGCACTAAAAATACAGTATATACTGTACTACTGAGTGAGACACCTACACAGCCTTGCCACGAGCATGACTCAGTGTGTTAACTGCTTCCGTGTCGGATCCGGTTCCAGCTGTCAAAAACACCCAAATCCAAGCACCAAGGTACAAATTCTCTTTTTCAGTCTTTTTATTAGAGCAATGTAAAAAACATTTACATAGATGCTTACTGTCCATTGTTTCTGTTGGTTAAAATGACAAAGGGAGGCACACTAAATCAGCTGTAGCTACATGTGATTACCCTTATTACCATAAATAACTTGCCCAAAGACTAAAATCACTCTTGGCAGTAGTCCTGTAGTCTTTGCAAGTTCATGCCTGCTCTCAAAAATAATTTTATTAAATTGTACAGATTTTGTTTTCTTTGATACTTAAACAAGATCAGGTCTTTCCTTTCATCTGCAGACCTAGAAAAGGTCATCCATGCTTTTATCTTCTCCTGACTGAAACTAGTACAGTGTTCTTTATTCCAGTATCAGGAGATGAAACACTCTAAAGCCCCTTTTCGACATGCACTGGAACCATGAAAGTCTCTAGACATTACCTGGGGGAGATGTATGTGAAAATGCAAATGTCTGAGTCAGTTGACCTAGACCTTAAGTGGACTGTGCCCTGCCAGCTCTCTAGTACAAAGTCCACATAAGGTCCCAGTGAGCTGCAGTGACCCCATGTGAGAATAGAGGCGTGTAGTCTAGAGTATTCACACAGAGCTAGTGGGCATGTTGATGATATTCTCTCACATGATCGCCATAAAACCAGAAGGATACAAACATCGGATGGTGAAGAAAAAGTCATTTATAATAAAGATGCCAACAAAAGTATCTAACTGGAGTGCCTCTCTACATCTCTTTTAGTTTCTCAAGCATATGAACATTCAAATTGTGTGCCTTTCTCTCTCCTCCTCCTCCCTGTCCTCTCTTTTCACTTGGGCTCTCTTACTAGACCATCACTCTCTCTCTCTCTCTCTCCCTGGCTGGCAGTGTGAATACAACATTTTGGATCTGGACCTTCGAGGAGCCCTGTCCTTGTCCTTATCCATTTCTCATTGTTTTTACCTTATTTGTTGTTCATTTTCTTCTATATATACTGTATGTGAATAGTGTGCTGGAGTTTTGCTTCCTGTCTGTTTACGTAGTGTGTTTTCTTTCCGGGTCTTCATGGTGGAGAAGATGTCGTGGTAATTTTTTTTGCCCCGTTAAAGGGTTTTTTGGGGGGAGGTTTCCCAAATTGGGTGTCAAAGGACAAATAATGTCATATAGTGTCAAAATGTTAAGACCCCTGAAGAAAAGTTGTGTCATCACATTGGGCTATATAAATAAAATTTGACTGAACAGCTGTTCATCTGAGAGTAATACAGAGGTAAATAACTGTCATTAACCAAATGACTAGAAGAACCATTAAATGAATGAACACAAACTGATTAATAAGCGAGACATGCCATTGAGCCAGTGATGAATATTTCATGTTTAACCTTTAACAATGCATAAAATCAACGTGCTAACAGCCTGGTACTCATCGGTACACAGCACTGGTACTGGAAAGGCCCTCTGTCAATCAGGTTCTCTGAATTGTGATAACAAAATGACTACATTGCCACCAAATCTGATCCGAGACCTGATTCAGCAGCAGATGTGTTACTTTCTTTTTAAATACTCTCACTGTGAAGATTACTTCCATCTATTTCTATCTGTTTTCCCCACTGTAGGAATTTAAAATGTAGTTCTTCACACTTCTTGACACTAATTTAAGGGAGCATGTTTCTTGAAGCAGAGTATGAAGCTGTCTTACCGCCCAGGTTTTGCTGAGTCTGAAGATGGGAGCACTCTGCAGAGCAGACACCACTGACACCAGAGAATGAAGGTTGTTGAACTCCAGCAGTTTCTGAGAACAGACACAGATATTGTATGAAGTACACACAAATTTAACAAGTGACTTCAGTCACTGTCAGCTGGCACTCTGAATAATACACAATTCTGTGTGTGTTCAACACACCTGGCCAATAAAGCTGATTCTGATAATATATATTTGTAACTACCTACAATATGACTTTAATTAAAATGTTCTCTTTAAAAATGTTGTGCGAGGCATATGAACCTGGGGTTCTCCAGGCTTGGGTGATACAACAGTACTAAGGTATACCACAGGATTTAGAAATCCTCAAGGTATGATTTTTGATGCTGTCAGAAGCATATGCCCCTATTTTTCTATTAGGCTGAAGCAGAGACCATGTAGGCTTATTGTAGTGCACAACATTGGCACCAGAGGTCAGTCATGATATGACAACTGAAGGGAGAGACCGAGCGGAGAAGGATGGTGACCAGCAGTGGGAATACAGGACTTCCAGCTTGAAAATATTTGGGGTTCAGATCCAAAAATACAGTCAAACCCCACAACATGGACAAAGCTCTGTGAACTATTTGCTTACAACTAATTTTTGGCTGAAGTGGTAAAAAGCCATTTTCACAAATGCCTCTGCATCTGTGCTTGAAGTACAGTATCTGAATTAAGTCATTCTGGAACATTCCCAGATAAAACAGAGCAAAGTAATATGGCTAAAAGTCAGGATGATTAAATCCTGTTAGACCTACAAATATCCACTAAACCAATCTTCTCGGCTCATTTTTACTTGTAGGCTAAGGATATAACTAGGTTGTCTTTTTTGTGTGCGTACAGGCCTATGTTTCTACCTGCATATTTTATCTTGTGCACAGTAAAAGGGGTCTAAGGATACCTATGGTCTAAGACGATATCTCTCTCTCTCTCACACACACACACACACTTAAAGACCCCATAGAGTGGCTGATACCATTTTCACCGTATAACATGAGCATTTTGATTTTACCTGCTGTCAATAATGAATAAATAAATATGATTATTAAAATCTAAAATGACATAAACTGTAAATTTTACATAAGCCTCTATTGTTATTTGGCCAAGTTTGGTACAGCACAAGCTGTAAATACAATAAACTGAATATCAACCCCCACAACCACTTCAAGCACTGCCCAATGCAAACCCCACCAACCCCACCCCTCCGCCCAATGAGCCCTCAGCTCTGGGCCGGCTCTTTACACACCTTTGTTGTATTATACACCCTAATCCATAATTGCAGAGTGATTCTCTATGAGTAACATTCTGGGTCTGCTAATACTGTAGTTAAATAGGGTACATAAAGTGTGCATTATTTTTAGAAGTCAATATATTTTCACTTTGCCAAGAACATTGATACGTTTTTACATTTCCTTTCTATCCCACATTCTGACCATGGGGAAAAAAAGCTCCATTTCCACTTATTCTGTAATCGGACCATAACAGCAAGAGGCACCATTTTTTGTTTAGCCAGCAGAGGGTCTGATTTCTCCATCATGCTGTGTAATAAAGTATCTAGGTGGCTCCTGTATGTTGCACCTTCATGCACAATAATGGATTCTGTGTTGAAACTGCTTCATAAGCAGCAACTGGCAGTGACCCCTGAAATGAAAATGAAAATGAAATGAAAGCACCAACTGTTTAAAAGCTGCTGACATATCCATGTCTGATGATTGATTTTACCAATACACCGAAAAGATTACCAAACAGTGAGCCATACCAAATGTTACAACACAGGAGACAAAACAGTATGTTTTTGTCATCTGAAAATATGATACGGGTTTTAGAAAAGTAGCAAATGATTCCTGAACACATTATTGCCTTTACAACTACCCATGAACTGCCAGAAAGATTAATTAGATCCCATAAGCACTGTTAAGGGAGCAAGAAGGAAGATTGTAAAAACAGCAACATTCAACCTTTTATTATAATATTTCAACTGCATAAACCCACAACTAATTTTATCCTTTTGCTGTAAAAGTGCTATGAAAATGATTTTGATCATTAAATATTTCTCATGTTACTGATAATTCTGTTCATATTTAATCATTTGAACTCACCTTTGCTATTTTGACAAAATGGCTCAGTATTGCTGCTCGGATTTTCAATGTCTGGGCAGTTAGGATTTCTCTAACCAGCCAAAAGCTCACCTGCAACATAACAACATACACAGACAAACACACACAACTGAATATAATGGCTTCTCCATTGTATAATTGCATAATAAAAACTTGCAAGAGGCATAATAAAAACAGGCTGATCAGAAGTGAACCAGCAAAGGCTGAGCTATCCTGACCGAGTCCCTGAGCACACTGGATTCTCTCAAAACAAGCCTAATGACCTACATGCACTGTACTCAGAATATTATACAACTGTGTCACTGTTAATTTACAGACTCCGTAACCAGTGAGCAGAGGTTTATACACAGAGTGCCTTTACACATCAAAGTGTTTCTAGTTTGAGAAGTACTACTGCATAGGTTGCAGCATTAATCCTTTTGGGTCTCCAGATGAAGCACGTTAAATATCTTTAAGTGATTTCACCTGAGTCAGTCAGTGTCAGTTGTTCTGGAAGAATATAAATCTGAAAAATCTGGAGTTAGGAAGATCTAGGCTTAGTAGACCTCTGTAGCCTGCTCCTCATCTGTGTTCAAGGCTGAATTAGCTGCTAATAGTATAATACAACTAAATCTCACCACGAATTGTTGGCAGTGGAGTTGGATCATGGGTAATGCAGGCACCAGGTTGTGACAAGAACAAAATTATACAGAATAAAAGAGGAAATATCTCTGGTTCTGCTGCACCAATTTGTATCCATTTTAAGTGTCACAGGAGAACTTTTAATTGTAAATTGAGCAAGACACTGAACCCCCAGTTGCTCCTGGTGATGACACCAGTGTGGGAATGGGTGAAGGGCCAAATAGTGTGAAAGCGCTTTGAGTGTGCTGCACTGCATAGAAAAGAGCTATACAAGTATAAGAACATTTACCATTCCTCATCCTCCAGCCACAATTTAAAAAAATACTTCCCCTAGAAACAGCACCCACCAATGAACCTTTTACTGTAATTATATGATAAGTACAACAATAATGATAATAAAGAAATTATGTTAAATTAGCTGCAGAAATCATTTAAGACGTACCTGGTTGAACCTGCGTGTGAATGCTACCACATTGGGGGCCAAACTGTGTTTCTCTTTCCCATTCCATCCACAGCTGGCCAGCTCCTGCCAACCAGAAAACCACAAGATTTGAGAAATGTGTAACAATAACCAGTGTCACCATGAGTGTGGCGGCTGAGATTACAGATTAGCAGAACATAAGACTGTAAAAATGTTACCAAACTGATGAATGACAACAAAACTCCATTGCTGGACTGGAGCTGACAACAACCGATCATTATTCCGATATGACATGACCTCAAATTTCACAAGAAACCTAAATATTGTCTGTGTTTTAGAGCTGTTTACTTGATAAGGAAAACAAACAAGTGAACACAAGTGTCTAGATACTGTAAGTCATCAGAAAGCAGTCTCTCACAGGCTCAAATGAATCAGCAATACAAACCAACCATAGGTTTATTAAGCTACTTTCAAAGTATTTTACACAAAAGCTCTGATAGAATAAGGCAATGATGACCTGAGCAGTTCTTTAAGAGACCCGCTTTGAGTAAAGTCTTACACATCTCTTTCCATCAGTACATATACTGTTGTTTACCCATCTATGAAGGAGAAATTCTAATTAATTTGCAGTTTGTTGCGCAGTCCTGGATTAATTTACTTACTGAGCCATTAGCTTACTCGTCTGTGCCACAGACCACCATTGGTGTTCAAAAACAATTAAAAGCACCACCAAAGCACACCACTGCACTAGGAGACTTATTTCCTCATTAAGAAACACACCACCCTATATTTGTCAAGAATATCCAGAAATCTCGTGCATGGGCTGTTGACTCTTGCTCTTGCTTATATATCTCTATATATCTCTGGTGCTTCATAATGAGGAAACATCACCCAGTGCTGTAAACTGCTGTTTACAGTAGGAGGGTTCATGCTGGTAGACAAAATACTTTGTGAACACAGATAGTAGTCACGGTGTGTGGAGATAACCTGTGCTAGACTAAGTGTTGGATGGACTAAACGTTATGTTCACCACTGATAGGCATGGCAATTAAAATGATCTTGGAACTATTCATGTTACACTGTAAATGATGCTTAGGAGGCCAACCACTTGTCAATATGAGTCTCTTACCTCTGGTTGTATCGCTTTAAAGACAGGAGCATCCATTAGAGTGATTTGACTCTGAAATAAAAAAATAAAAAAAGAAAAAAATCTTTGCATAGGCAGGAGGTTAAGCAATGGCACACATATAATACACTGTATATATGGTGAAAGAGAAACTGCACTGTAGAATCCCATCACTCAGTAATACCTAGTCAATCATTTACCAGTTAAATATAGAAACCTATTGCTCAGTTCTCTATCACTATGAAAGCAATTCTCCTAAAAACAAAATTCTCCTCGAAGAACAAAACAACAGACAAAACATTACAGAGACATAAGCCCTACTGAAGCATTTCTATTCAATCCACAATGAAAGCGAGATGTGAGCGGCACGTTCTGTCTTTAAAGTTATCAGAACAACTCTGTCTGTCCACATGACAAAGAGTCTTTACTAGGCCGACCAACAAAACAAGTGTACTGGACAAAAACTGTTTTCATTTAAGATCATCAGGAAGAAATTGCATTTTTATGTAGCCTATGGAGTTAGTGATTTTATTGATTTTCCCCAGCTTGTTACAGAGGGCGGAAGTAATGTGAAACAAAGCAGCTCAATTGGTCATAACAGATAACAGCAGAAACAAAAAATTTATGGGATTTGCGTAATTTAAACAGCTGACTGTGGCGATCACGCTTTACTAAATGCAGCAGAGGAAAAAAAGACATAAAAAAAAAAGCATTTCAAAAAATGTGACGGTTCCAGGGTAGATGTGCATCTCACACACCTGTCGCAGATTCAGCGTGTTTTGAAACATTTGACAGAATAAAGTTCTATCTGCTGCGTGAGACAATCGATAGATAATGTCAGGCCTGCATTGCAAGTGGCTGTTAAGTGGTGTCACAAACCACTTCCTGTTTAGTAATGCTCATTCTAGTATCAGGTCTATCAGGAACCTGAAGTCCAGTTGTCAGCTTTAGCATTTTTTGGATATACCATCACCTGTATGACTGAGAATCTCTACAGACAGCCAAACATCCTCCTGAAAATGTTTAAAAGCTTTGCTTTGTACAGTAAGTAGGCCAATAGTATGCTTTGGTCTCTCAGGTAGGATCTGATCTATATTGTATGCTGCACAAATACTGAGTAACTTTTGATGTGTACTCACAGCAAACTCTTCAGGCGTCACCTTCAGCACATCAAAGATAACTGCATTGTAGCTCTTGGCATAGTCCAAACAAGGTCCATCCAGAGAATCAGAGCTGCTGCTGGCCTGAGAGACACATTAAACACTGATATTAACTGCTCAGTACCTACAGGACTCTCTGTGAGAGACCACAAACACAACTTCTGTCATGAAACTGTGTACTGTCTTAAATATGCTGGCAAAATGATACATACTGTATGTCCCCCTGACTATAAGGCTAGAGCCATCGGTGTGAGTTGGCGCCACAGATGGCTGCCACAGCTGTGTGTGTGTGTGTGGGTGTGTGTGTGTGTGTAACAACATACTTGGCCAAAAAAAGTGTTTTGTTTTTTTTTATGCATGCATATGTGCAGTGTATCCAACCAGTTGTAAACCGCAGCAAATACAAACTACACACACTTCAAAAAGAACTGTGTGCATGGTAGGAACACACATTCTTCTGTTTCTATTACCTGTTGCACCTGTTTGGACAAGCACAAATACTGCAATTCATTTTTAGTTGGAGGTTTGTAAAAGAAAAATAGAAAGAAATGACTACTAATAGAAATAAAAATTCAGCTGCCTGATAGGGCACATCTAGAGTCCATAGTTAACACATCCAGTTGAATCTAGTTCTTACCTCTGAGGTGACTGAATTGATGCTGGTGCCATCTGAGAGCCCGTTCCTGCGATACATGCTCACAGAGGGACTGGTGGGATGCAAAGGTCAGGTGACAGAGGCCTTTAGCTGGGGGGCACACATGATCTTTCATCCATGCCTGAAGATGGAGAACACAGTCATGAGTCTTCAGCCAGCCCCCCCATTCACCGTTTCAGATTTATTATGAACAGTTTCTATTGTATTTGATTTGTACTTTGAGTTTTCAAGTTGGCTCATATCACACTTACATGGAGGGATCAGGTTTTGTGACCTATATTGCAACCATCCACCAGGGGAGTGAACAAATTGTGGTGGTTTCATTTCTGGGAGATGTCACATCATCCTTCTTAACATAAGTCTATGTACAGTACTTGGTTGAAGTTAAGTGTGTGTTGCACTTTCATGCTATATTTTTGGCTGCCCCATTACACCAATTAGGAATTAGAATGTGCATTATTTTACCTAAATATACCAAAAAAATACTTGCATGACCAGTGTATTTGCTAACACTGAGATCTGTAGTGGTAAACAATGCTTTGCCATGCATCTTGCACTTGTACCTGAAGGACAACTGAATGAACCGATGACCTGACAAAACAGAAAATAGAAAGACACTTCGGTTCAAATGTGGGTATCCACTTTAAAAGTGACACCTCAAATTGCAGGAGCTTCACTATGTACTCAGATTTACATTTATATTTACTGTAGTTGGTGACCAAATATGGGTATTTGATTTGATGGCTCATACTTGAGTTGCATTCGAGTCCCACATAGACTTCCAAATTGACTCTCAACTCATAAAAATGACCTGTGGCATATATTACATATAACCAGTATAATACCAGTTTGTGTTGTGTTTTGGTAAACAAGCTGACTAACTCAGACTTATCACGCTCTGCCACTCAATGCTTCACAGAAACCTGGCTTAGCAACTCCATCTCAGACATCGCAATGCGGTTCCAGGCATACAGAGCACATTGCATAACAGGGTTATCCGGGAAAAGGAGAGGATGTGGAATCTGCTTCTGCATAAATGAAGGTTGGTGTAAAAATGTCTGTGTTAGAAGAAAAAAAAAAACTTGCAACATGGACTTAGAGACTCTTTTCATTAACGGAAGACCTTGCTGTTCACCTTGAGAGTTCTTGTTTATTCAGCATGCATATTCCACCACAAGCCTGCATTAGCAGTGTGCTAGAGCACCTGGCCAACCAGACAACTGAAGTGGTACTGAAACACCCTGACTCCCTACTCTTTGTTCTAGAGTAGACCACACCCACAAACTGCCCAAATACAGACAGCATGTCAGTTGTCTCACCGGGAACAATAAAACATTAGACCACTGCTATACTGTAATAAAAGATGCATACCACTCTGCAGACCGCACTGCCCTTGGACTCTCTAACCAGTGCTTGGTTCATCTCTTCTTGACCTAGAAACAGAAACTTAAAGCTGCAAAGCCTGTGGTCAAAAGAGTGGAGAGATGGACCGAGCAGGCAAAGTCAGAGCTACAGGCCTGCTTTGACTGCACAGATTGGAGTATATTTGAGGCTGTGTCTACAGACCTCACTGGCACTGTGACATCATGCATCAGCTTTTGTGAGGATGTGTGTGTGCCCACCAAGACCTTCTGCACATACAACACCACCACCCCCTGGTTCACAGTAAAACTCAAACAACTTCATCATAACAAAGAGGAGGCCTACAGATGTGGGAACAGGATCCTGTACAGGCAGGCCAGGAACACACAACAAGAAGATCAGGGCAGCAAAGAGAAGCTACTCAAATAAGCTGAGAAATCATCTTCCTGCCCATGAACCTGGCACTGTGTGGAGGAGCCCACAAAACATCACTCAAACTCATTTTGCTTCTGTGCTTTTTTTTAAAGGCATTTGCCACAGCTACCATTGTAGTTCACTGTCCCACTGGCCGAAACCCCACGTTTGATTGTGTTTGGTATGTATGTGATTTTCAATGTGAAAAGATATGGACAGCTGCACTCGTTTGCAAAGTGGCTGCCTAAGACTACTATTTAGACAAATGGAGCCTCTGGACAATTTAAACTACTTAATGATGTCACCTGGAAAAAAGTCTTTTGTGGGGGGTTCTATATAATTTTTCAGAACCTGGATTGACATAAATACTGAGAGGTGAACAAGAAGGCAACATTATTACCATCATCATCACACTCTGTGACCTCACATGGGACTTTGATCTGACACACACCACCCAAGTCATTCAAACATGTATTCACTTATTTACTCACTCACTCTGTAACTAAAACCCCAGTGTCTTTCCTCATGTTTTGTTTGTGTTGCACTGGTGACATGTTTTTCATTTACTAAAAATTTAATAAACATAGTTACAGACTCAGCAGATTTGTTAACAGTCTTGGTAGAACAGTGTCAGTGGTTGGACAACTGAGCAGACCTGGCTCTCAGAGATGACTGCCAAACCAGCCACTGATGAACCTGAGCAAATCCAACGCAAATCCTGTGTTTCAAACCACAAAGCTGCTTTTTACTTGAGTGAGAACAGGGTTCAGGGATGCTTTGTATTAAGGGTAGGTTAAGCTTGGAAAAGGGTGCTGCTTATTGTGGGGCTATATAGATTTATGACAGCATGGGCTGGCACCCCCCTCTTTGGGGCCAAATAATGGGCAAACATCATTTAATCGGTATACTCAGCTTCCACATGAATGCTCTCCCTCTCTTTGGCACATTTAATTGTGCATTATTGATCCCTTGAAAAGAAAATCAAATCAAATCAAATTTTATTTGTATAGCGCCAAATCACAACAAAAGTCATCTCAGGACACTTGACAAAGTAAGGTCTAGACCTTACTGTTATCAATATTATTACATAGGGAAAACCCAACAAATCCCCCTTGAGCAAGCACTTGGCGACAGTGGGGAGGAAAAACTCCCTTTAACGGAAGAAACCTCCGACAGACCC